CTATAACTGTCACACTTCTCTACAATCACACATTTTCGTATCCCAAATGTGTGATTATAGAGAGGTTTGACTGTACTAATAATAATTGCAAACTTCATGACGTTTGTAATTTAAAGTTGATCATGATTATCACTATTATTATTTTATGCAGTGCGTGCGCATAATGTATATGCATGATTGCACAGATGCATAGCACGATGCACTTGGTGCCTACCTCCAATGGAGATCAGATAAGTATTTTTAAAGATACAGATCTGGTATGAAAATATGGATCAGGTCAAGCATGGATGTGAATCCGTCTTAATCGGATCGAACTCTATAGATAAGGATCTTATGGTTATTTTCACAATAATGAAGAATACTGCTGATGACCAAATTGCAATTCGTAGTTTATCGATCCAGTTATTGGTGGTTTTTCAATTGTTTCAGGACTTATGGCTGTAACCAGTATTTTAAAATTCAAATGATTTTATGTTCTCTCAAAAATAATAAAATGAATTTTTTTTTTTATTTTAATATCAAAAGAATTTTTGTCTAATGTTCTCAAATAGAGAACATATTTTAATGATTTATTGTCACAAGAATAGTTTAGTGTTCTCTGAGAACACTGAGAACGTCAAATTTTAAACACTGATTATAACTGTAAAGATCTATCGGATCGGCTAGTATTGAATCTGTGAAACATTAAAAAAAAAATACCACTAACCAACTTTTTATGATTTTACCATTATATAATAAGTCCAAAAGAGGATCTTACTTAATATACGTTGTTCTTCAGATCGGTTCCTGCCATAACTAAACGGTCACCTAATAGCTCAGTTGACATCTAAAGCACCATTACCGATTTATCTTTTGAAAATTGCTGGTAACTCAAAAGGTTCATTCATGAAACACTCACAGCACAAAAAAAAAATTTATTAGAACAATGTAATTTCATTTACTCATTACGTAGACAAATCATTTATCAAATAAAATAATGGAATTTAAAAATCGTATAACTTTCGAGCTAGTTTCAGACGTATTATCCGATGCAATAATTCAGAAATGAATAATTTTTGAGTAATTAAGCATTAATAACCTACTGGTCATAAATTCGATATTTGATTGTCAAATAAATATTTGTGAACTGAGTTGACAAGGTGATATCGAATTAGATTCATAAAAACACAAATTCGATGCATGTTATGTAAAGAGATCTTATAAATCGTATACGAATGAAAACGTTCTTTAGTTATTTTATTAAACCTTGTATTAGTATTCTTTACTGTGATAATATGATGCCAAGTATAAGAATTTTTAATAATAATCTTAGTTGCCTTAGAAGATAATAGGCATCTCAGGTGAGCGATCAACGGGTTACGCACTTCATTCGATGATTGACATCTAAAGTAGTGACTGGACTCGTTTCACCATAACTCACGAATTAACTCAGAAAATATTTGAACCATAATCGAATTATTTTTATTCGAGTCACGAAATTAGTTTATTGAAAATTTATTTAACTCGCAAGTTTAACTTCACGATTTAAATCATTATGAATTAGAGTTGTTCGAGTTCGTGTTGACAAATCCAGTCACTTCTCAGCTATCACCTGATGCAGGAACTCATCATATGCACAACATAATATACACTTATTGTATTCTTTGCTTTGCACATTAGTAATTTTAGAGTTGCGTTAGAGCTTTTATTATAAGAATACATATATATATATATATATATATATATATATATATATATATTATATTGTATATATGTGTATTTATACAAATTAATGATGCCGAATTTTTTATAAATTTTATCAATATATACCAAACAGAACTAAAATGTTTCAAAATTTTTTTAATTTATTAATAAAACATAATTTTCATTCCAAAATCAGAGAGGTTGCTTCTAATCAGTAATATATGCAAAAACATTGTTTTTTGACCCACTTGACCCATTTTTATTGACCCGCCCCCCAAAAAAATTATCATCGTTTTTTTGACCCAAGTAGTGTTACACAATAACATTGTCATGAGCTAAATTGACATCATAGACAAACAATTTCAACATGTTCATCCCATTTTTCGGGGTCAACGTTTTCTGACAAACAAGTTTATAATTTAGATCTAAGGCTTAGATAATTTGTGGTATATCTCGGCCGATAGAAATTATACCACTATACAATCAGATAAGTTCTATTTAAGCCTCTCTAGTCCTTATAAAAAGGACGTAACTTGGTTAATGTTGGTTACGACACTTATGTGCGAGGAAGGGGCACATAAGCTCACTAACCTGATAATAATTCCCCTATATTACTGTATTATATGATCCAAATCACCAACGTCACGCCTCTGGCGAGTTGCCTTATCACATAAAGTCTATATTTTATAGTATAGATTATCGAACATACAATTCGCGATTTCAATTATGTTAGGTTAGTCGGGATTTTAGGATGATTGCATAATAAATTAAAGTATATTAAGCTTATATAGATATATGATACGAAAATGATGTAATTAATAAAGTCATATAAAAGACAAAAGTAATCTCTTGTTTTAAAAAGGAAAAGATAATGATATACGCATATAAAACGTGGTTATAGAGATCCATACAAGTAGTTAGTTGTTAAATCACGATGTTAAAAAAAATACTATACCACAGCAAAACGCTTCCAAGTTAGTTAGACAACGGCTATTATTTGACTTCATGAAATAATATATAGAAAAATTGACCAAAACTATATTAATTTTCTTACACAAATAACTTCACCTTCTTTTCATATTGGTGATATTCTATCACCATTTGGACGATCTGTTGAACATTATTTATATTCTCTTCTTATACGTATCACACAACATCCGTTATAAGGTTCAATGTTATAAATATCATGATATATTTAAATTTAAGTTATCACGGTACCGATAGAAATATAATAAATAAATAAATAAATAAATACTAAAGATATATAAGACAATTCTGACAAACATTTTTTTGGTTTGTAATGATCGTGTAACACTATGTGGGTCAAGAACGATGATAAAAATTTTTTTTTTTGGGCGGGTCAATAAAAATGGGTCAAATGGTCAAAAACAATGTTTTGCGTAATATATAGTAAAAAAAAAAAAAAAATCGTCTCTATATCTTTTTGATTGACGTTTATTATAGTTCATTGTTTGCTTTTCAGAAATTTATTATCTTTTAACTGAAAAATTACACATTACACTTTGAATTGAATTATGCTAATTATACTCGAATAAACTGATTATCAAACTTTCTGTACTAATTATAGTTGCCATCCAAACCTAATTAGTTTGACTTTCTAGGGTATTAATCACTATTTTTGACTAGTTAAAGGCGTGGAACTTGTCCCAAACTTACTGTATTACTGTAATTGGGATTTAGGACAAAATTTTAGATATATCGATATCCAATTTGGACCAATAGTTATAACTATTTGGACGACAACTATATAATACTAATGCAGTATAAATTTTCATAGGTAAAAGTGTAATACAAGATATTTTGGTTAGTGGCTTAAAATTTAGAATACATTTTAAATTTGACGAATATAAATAAAAATGGAAATAGCGATTATTGATTTAATTTTTTTTATACGTATTACGATGTAACAATATATATAGTATTGATACTTTATAACTGTTTTCAAAATATGGGAAAAACTGATTTTTTTATATAGGTGTGTGGGAAAACAGAAGTTTGAATGCCCACAGTTGTTGAAAACGGCAATAATCATTGTTTGATTTGCATTATGCTTTTTTGTACTATGATATTAGTGATACAAGAAGAAACAAGAATTCTGAATTTGAATTTATTACTTTATCGAATTTACAAATGTACAATTTTTTTTTCTTTTTTGGAGCGGATAAAATCGATGATAATGATATACTTCGATAAGAGATGTCATGAGCAGGTTTACTATGAATGTGCTTGACAAATAAGTATTGTATCATTATCATTATATAATCTGCCAAATAAACTTCAAAATTTGGCAGGCGATGCAATGACGCCAGATATTTCACATAGTATGCAACTGGATAATCAATATTTCATAGCGTCCAATAACGATCTATATATATTATTTGGCAAACAAAAGTGCATTGATATTATTTTATTTTATTTTTTCAAGATAAATTTTATAAATATAAAATTTAGGAATGACTTTTTTTTATTTTAAAAAAAAAACCTTTATTTTTCACGTGGTAAATTCAAGATACATAAATTGAGAATACTGTATATGTACATTATATATCGTTACCATAGCTCATATATGTTAATATAATCATTTTTACATCGAAGAAAGATAATGTCATAACATTCTATTTTATAATGTAACAAAATCTGCGATTATTTTGTTTAAGCGATTGAAAAAAAGATAAATAGAATCACGATTATTTTGTTTAAGCGATTGAAAAAAAGATAAATAGAATCAATAAGATTTTTGTTCGAAATTTTGTAATACGTATTGTATGTACTGTACTATATAATAAAAGTCATAAATGTTGCACGAATAAGTGATAGGTTTGTAAGAGTTCGAAACATAAATGTAACAAAGTTAGCTTAATTTAAAATAACTAAAAACATATTTTTTTGGTCTTGCATAAATGATAAAGGTAAATATGCTTATATTTGCGACATAACGGGAAAAAAAAAATTATATAAAGATTTTACGAACGGAAAATTTACAAGCAAAAATTAAAAGCTTAGTAAGGGTAGATGTTTTGATTGTAAGTAATTGAAGCAGTCGCTTCTGTCAATGATTGTTGTACATTATCGTTATGCGTATTAATTATGTTGCCATAACTATCATCTTTCGGAAAAATTGATGGTAATATTGTTGGGTTTGTATTTTCAAATTGCTCATAAAAACAAGGGAAAAATATAGGGTCCGTTGTAATAATATACTCGGAAGAAAGTGAGTATACATTATCACAAGCTTGTGTTTCGGGTAATATATTTTGAAATTGATTCGAATCTGTGGCCTTCAATTTACGTTTCCTTTTGGGATTTTTTAACTTCTTTGGACAATGATAATCTGGAGGTGACTATAGAGAGGTCAGACTGTAATGTGTAATTTACTATGTAGAGCCCAATCATGACATGGGCATGATACA